CCCCTCTCGTGCTTGCAGAGTTGCAGGAGACGTGATGCTCTGACGCAAGGTCGGGGCCCTTGTGAGTGGCCCGGAAGGCTCGTTTGTCACCCTTGGGCTCGTTCGAACCACCTCAGTGCTGTTTGGTGATGGCGCAGCTGACGATAGCACAAGTTTTGATTCTCTCCGGCAGGTCCTGACAGAGAAGAGACTCTTCAAGTGAGGATCCGACGAGGAGCTATGAGATTGTCGCCCACGCCACACGCACATCGTTCCCCCCCCCCCCTGTGCCCCTCCCTCCTCACAGGATTGTCTTCTGCTTGTCCTTGTCCTGCACTTGCAGCTCAGCTCGAATGAAGAGGTCGTCACCACTCCACCTGGTGGTTTCAATCAGATTTACAAGAACAGAGGCAGGAGCAGGAGCAGGAGCAGGAGCAGCAGCAGGAGCAGGAGCAGGAGCAGGAGCAGCAGCAGCAGCAGCAGCAGCAGCAGGAGCAGCAAGACGCAAAGGGGACAGGGAAGGATCAGTAGCAGGATCAGAAGGAAGGTGAGGGGAAGGTAACGGATCGCTGGACAAGGCACAGAGGGGATGGCTGCGCAAGTTCAGGGACTTCAACGTACAGGGTAGGAGAGACTATGTATCCCCTGTCCGTCTTCGCAAAGAGATCCTGACTGTTGATCTCGAAGGCAAATCCTGGCCAGCAGTGAGTCAGAGAGGTTTTCTTCTCGTCCTCCTCCTCCAAGAAGGATTATCATCGTTGTCGTCTCCATCAACAGGAGGATTATTTCCACACACACACACACTTACCACCACCACCACAACCACCACCACCACCACCACCACCACCATCGTCATCATCACCACCACCACCACCATCATCATCATCATCATCGTCGTCGTCGTCATCATCATCATCATCGTCACCACCACCACCACCATCACCATCATCATGAAAATCAGTTCCTTTACATCCAACATTGCCACATCTCTTCACCTTTCGACTCATCGCCCTTCTTAGGTTTGCCTGCCGCCTTTTCCCTACATCAGCGCACATCCTCCCATAGAACATCTTCTTACAGGAAAATCTTGGAGCTTTACAGGGATAGACTTCTTCGATATGATTCCTTTCCCAACACACCTCGAGATCAGCACGAGCTGCCCTGCTCCTCCGTACTTCTCAAAAACCTTGTCGGATCCTTCTTCCAACCTTATCTCGCCAGAGATAATGGTGGAGCTGTCGTCAGCGCGAGCCGCGTCCTGCCTCCCATTGAAGAAGACAAGTGCAGAAAGAGCGAAGGTATTGAGCAGGAAGCGTCTCCTTGCCAGCTCCTCCTTGCCCGAGCTCGACGACATGCTGACGGCGCGCACTCGACTCTGACGCCATAGCGGAGCCGAAGGCTTGCATGCAGAGATCCCCCGGCCTGTTGCCTGCGCCGATGAGGAGAGGAGGGAGGGAAGAAGAGAGTCTGGCGATGGTGAGAAGCATGGGAGAGGCAAGGCTGCGCCGGCCCATCCTCCTCCTCCTCCTGCCTCGGCTAGCATTGTGTATTTGTGGCCTCTGGTGGGTAATAGTGGGTATGTGGTCAATGCAAATGAGTGACCTGTGATGATGGGAGACCATAAACGTCAAACTTGCAAGAAAATGCAGCCGTTGAAAGTCTTGGCATGCGATCGCATAGAAAAAGGGGAGAGCAGAGCAGAGCAGAGCAGAGCAGAGCAGAGCAGACTCCTGGAGAGCAGAGCAGAGCAGAGCAGACTCCTGGAGAGGAGAGGAGAGGAAAGAGGGCAATTGTCTTAGGAGAGAACTGAAAGTCGAGGGGAAAGGAGGAGATCCTTAAGAAGGGAGGAGAAGAGTTTGACAGACTGCATGATCGTTCTTCATCCCTCAAGCATGCGATCGGACTGACGTCCTTCGAGTCAGACACTCAGGCTGGGCTGAATGGCTGTGGCTGTACCAGGACAAGCTGAGGGCATTAAGCTAGGATGGCAACGAGTGTCGCAGGGGCGCGGGGAGAGGAGAAGTGTTTATGCTGCCATGTCGGCGGGAAAGAGCAGGACGGTGCCTCAGACGTACGTGCCAGTGCAGGCATGGAGCGGGAGGGCGATCAGAGATAGGAAGGATCGACCGAGCGAGAGCGAAGGGGGGAGGGAGAAGATCAGGAGGACCAAGCGAGCTGCGTGCTTCATCGAGGACGCGATGAGAGGGGTGGACGGGAGGGACTATGTGGATGATCGCCGAACGAGCAAGGTCGTGTTCAGCATGGAGAGCAGGCAGCATGCGAGAGCAGCTCCGTCGACGGGGGCGGCAGCAAGACAGACGAAGCCCTTCCGAGATACGATGCTCAACTTGTCGAGTAAGAGTCTGTGGACTGCAAAACCTGAGGCGATCGGCGAGTCAGAGGGGAAGAAGGCGATCAGGTGAAGTAGGTTAGATGTAGTTGCTCCTGCTCTGACGCAGTTGACAGGTCGGTCTCCTCTCAAAAGATGAAGGAAGCAAGTTTTCATCCGACACTGCATGCGCGGTTGATGGAGAGGGTGAGTTTGTACGATGTCGTTTTTGTTTGTCGTCGTCGTCGTCGTCATCATCATCATCATCATCATCATCATCATCATCATCGTCGTCGTTTGATTGAAGTTGTCAAGTAGGTGTCGGAGAGAGTGAGAAGGACGCAACTGAGGGAAAGAGAGAAAGAAAACTTTGACAAGTCAAAAGATGTCAAGAAAGAGACAGACAAGCTGCTACTGAAGATGTTTCAAACGACTGAAGTGTGAATTCCGCTTGTCGCTCCCTCCTTCTCCCTCCTTTTCTCCTCTTCATCTCTCCTCCTTTCTCCTCTTCATCTCTCCTCCTCCTTCTATCTTCCTTCTTTCTCGTCCCGTTTCTCCGACTGATTACTGATTGGTTTACCAGCTCCTTTCGGCTTCTGACACGAAGCAGAAGAGCTGGCAGAAAGAAGACGCACTCATGTTTCAGAATTTCGGCAGAAAGCTCAACGTAAAGCGAAATTGAAAGTTTCGTTGATGATGACGAATGATGATGGAGATAATGATAGCAATGATGATAGCAATGATGATAGCAATGATGATGATGATAGCAATGATGATAGCAATAATGATGATGATGGAGACGATGATGGAGATGATGATAGAAATGAAGATGGTTGAGATGATGATGATGGAGATGATGGAAACAATTATGATGGTGATAACATCTTCCTTCCCAACTCTCCTCCTACCAGATGGTCGACGACGAGGTTGAGAACCTGAAGGCCTGCAAGGACGGGATGGTGAAGATGCTGCGAGTTATGAACGAGTACAACCTGCAACTGCAATCAGAGGTGACTTTCTCTCTTGTCTCCTCCTGTCGACATCTCACGTGTGAGTTCGAGCAGATGAACCTGATCAACCCCCTAGTGGACCATGTCTTCCGTGTGGAGCAGGCAATGTGAGTTGGGCAGATTGGGGAGCGGGGGGGGGGGGGGGGGGCGCGGAGGAGGGAGGAGGGGAAAGAAGAAAATGGGAGGGAGGACAGGGAGGGGAGGGAGGACAAGGCAGGAGGAAGGCGAGAGGAGAGAGGGCAGGAGGAGAATGGAGGAGTATGTTCTGAACTTGAATGCTCGTGCAGCATCAAACGGACCCCTCAAGCCTTCGGGTCTGCAATCTGATATGACAGAGGATTGTTTCACCTGACTGGCATACAGGACCATCCAAGGTAATTCTACACTACGACGCAAGGGAGGCGAAGACAACGAGGAAGATGAAGGCGAGCAAGTCGGGAAGATTGATGATGACAGCTGGGACGGAGGGAACTTCGATAGCTGCAAGGAGGACTTGCGGAACAACCTGGACGAGCTGAACGCGCTAATGGCAAAAGTTGTGGAGGGAGAGAGCAGGCAGAGCGATGGGGAGATCGAAAATGCAGAGGACAGAATGCAGGAGCCTGCAAAACTTTCGGCCCACGAGGAAGACGGCGAGGTGAGAAAGGAGGAAAGGATTTTAGAAGAGTGTGATGATTGGTGCGCCAGGAGGGAGGGGGGCGGAAAGGAGCAGGAGCAGGAGCAGGAGCAGGAGCAGGAGCAGAAGAGGAGGAGGAAGCAGGAGAAATTGGTTTCTCTGATCGTATCAGACACATTTGCGATCACCTCAGCGAGAATGTTCTCAAACCTCTTGCTTGTGACATCCAGGTAGGAGAGATCGTGACCCTCCTCTCCTCTCCTCTCCTCTCCTCTCCTCTCCTCTCCTCTCATCTCATCTCCTCTCCTCTCCTCTCCTCTCCGCCTCCTCTCCTCTCCACCTCCTCTCCTCTCCTCTCCGTCTCCTCTCCTCTCCGTCTGCTCTCCGTCTCCTCTCCTCTCCTCCTCTCTTCTTTCCTGCCTCGTTGCTCTTGCCTGCTGTCTTTCCTGTCCAACAGCCTTCCTCTGAAACTCCTGCAGGGCATTCTCCGCAAGGAGAGCGACTTTCGGCTGCAAATCGAGCAGGAGGTGATGAACACGGAGCGAAGGGAGAACCCACAGGATGGGCAAGAGGGGAGGCAGGGGAACGGGGAAGGAGAGGAGGTGGAGGAGGAGGAGGAGGAGGAGGAGGAGGAGGTTCTCAGAAGAGCCAAGTTGCTGCTCAGAGCGTTATCAACACAGCATTGAAGCACTCTCACATTGATTGAACTTGTTCTTGTCGTTCTATACAATTCCACATAGAAACTTGTAAACAATTTCCTCGTCGTCAACAATGAACAACAGTCGAGTCTGCTCTTCCTCCAACTCGAATGACAAGGGAAAGGATCGCAGCTCAAGTCCTCCACCCTTGTTTCAGCTAAATGTCCATCCCTCCCTCCACCCTTCACCTCCTCGCTGATCACCGCGATTCAATACAAGTTAAGAGTTACAGCCTAAACTTACAACAGGTTTCCTCCTCCTCCTCCTCCTCCTCCTCCTCCTCGGCGCCTCTAGTTACTATCAGTAGGGAACGCCTGCAAGGGGCCCAGTAGGGAACTTTCCAGCTCCCGGGCGTCAGGCAGGCAGCTGCTGGGGGGCTCGGCGAAGAGCCACCGCATGTCGTCGCATCCTCCGTCCCCCATCAGCATCTCCAGCTGCGCGTCTCCCCCGATCGCCTCCCCGCTCACCGGCACGCCAGCGTTCGAGGACATGGCGGCCGCCTCCTGCCCTCCACCCTGCCCCTCCGCTCCTCCCTCCACCTCCTGCCAGAGCTCCAAGTCCGCGTCCCCCGGCTCCACGTTGAGCTCCGACATGTCCTCGTGCTGGGAGCTCATCCAGATGCCCCGAGCCTTGTCAGTTTCGCTCCAGCTGTGCCTGGGCTCCACGGAGTCCAGCGTCTTGACGACAGTCCTGACTGGCCTCTGCTGCACAGCAGGTCTCAAGGCAACCGGGCTGTAGAGCTCCTTCCTTACCGCTGCTGAACCTACAGCTGGGGCGTGCTCCTCCTTCTTGGGCGTGATGGCCTTCTCTGCCTCCTCCTTTGGCCTGTCAACGGGGGAGGAAGCGATCATGCCGTTGGACAGCAGCCTGCCCTGCCTCCTCGCCGTCAGCTTCGTCTCCTTGTACGGCCACTTGTGTACTCCCAACTGCCTGCAAACCTTCTTGAGCACCGTAGCGCAAAGTCCCTGCCAAGAATCCCGGTCAGCATCCTCCATCAAGTAGACTTTCCGTCCCTCCCCCTCGCCCTCCCCCCTCTTCCTCCTCCTCTCACCAGTTTCTTGCAGACTGCAAGTAGAGGCATGTTGAAGTGACTCTCCAGCACCTCGCGCGTCACTACCACGGGTGGTCGGTTGCTTCCCATCCCCGACTGCCCCGCCTTCCTCCTTGGGAAGATCGCGATATCCCCGTACTCAGTCTGCGTCGGCTGCGCTACCTTGGTCTGCATCTTCTGCTGCTTCTTCTTCGAGCCCGACTTTTTCTCCTGCTTTCCTCCCACCTGACCCACGGTGACCAGGCGGTTGTCCTTGGAAGAGGAGGTGGAGGAAGGGGAAGAGCCGCCGAGGGTGCCTGGGCGGTAGGGTGTGAATGCCCTCGGTTCTCCGTTCTCGTAAGACTCCCATGGACCTGCTCCTTGTATGATCGGGTACGAGTACACAGGAAGAGGCCTCGTCCTGCTCGAGTCCTGAATGGCCTGGCTCGGATGTCTCTGCGGTTCCCGCCCTCGGAGCTCAGCAGGCAGCTCCTTGCTCTTGGCTGCCGTCCAGGCATCGCTCGTCATCCCCTGCAAGGCCGTGGACCTGCTGCTTTTCGAGCTGCGAGCTCGGTGATCCGCCATCCAGCCACTGGCCTGTGGCAGCTTGTCCCTGAACGAGTAGATCTGCTGCAAGCTATCGTGGGCATTGATCATGTGCAAAGGCCACATGGAGGCGCGTGGACACTTGTCCATGCAGGTGTCGTGATATCTGCGCCCGCCCAACAGGTCAGCAGGGATAAGAACATGCGAAAGAAGTCGCAGAGGATGACCCTGGTCTTTCTAGGACTTTTCACAACAGGATATCCGAACTAGCACAAACATCTTCTTCGTGTCATCCTAACAATTATACGCGGTGCAGCCCATCCAGTCGACATCAACAAATACATATCTCAAAGTTGAAGGATCACTTCGTACCAACGTGTTACAACACAATGTCCGATGCCTGCTTTCTTTGCGCTTTAAGAAAACACCCTACAACTGACGCTTCGTAACACAGTACCATCGACTCTCTTGCATCGAACGCCTCAATCTTTCATATCAACCCATTTCGAATCATAAGCAGCACATTGCAAACACTCAACTTCTTCCCATACCACCTGAAAAACTAAGAACGCATTGAGAAAGAATTTTCCAACTCGTCGTCCCTACTTGCACCTTTCCGCGTCCATCCAACTCATCCTTCTCCTTTCTTCATGTCTCACTCAGGTACATCTTACTTGTTCATCGTACATTTCTCTCCTTCCCCCTTTCTCTTGCTGCCCGCCCTCATCTTACGCCTCCCACCTCCTTCGCCTTTCTGCTAGTTGCCTTCGCATTTTCGACATCCCCTCACCTTTCTCAAAAGTCTGTACTACCCTTCCCCACTCATTCCTACTACCCTTGTTCCACCCACCCCTACCTGTTCCACCTTACCATCCGTAAACCACCTCCACCCCTCATGGAATTAATGCACCGCCTATTCTCTGGGAGGAAGTACCCCTATGTTTTATACATATGCCACTCACTACCCCTTATTTTTGATATAATGGCACTACCCCATAGGCCTGATCATGTTCAAAATCCATTTCTCAATCAGTACCCCTGATTGACCTACCCCTACCCCTTTGTTGTCACTTCGAAAGCACCGGAACCAGATGAATTTCCATTCTTCTTTCCTTGGGTAGTTACCCCAAGGCCTTTTGTACCCTGGCAGCCATATCTTCTGTACCCCTAGTCAATGTACCCCCACCTACCACAAATAGGTGGCAGATACGGCACCTTACTTAGAACCATTGAATTGACTACCCACCAGTCGTAAAGCAGGATCAATGACCCCAGTACCCCCTGGTTCACGATTTGTGGAGCACCCACCCACTCCTAAAGCAAACCGAACTTGCAACCCCTATCTTGATACCCTATATTGTTGCTATACCTACCACCCATTGATTTGTTGGGTCTGGACGGGGTATTAAAGAGTATACAGGGGTCCTGTTACGACCCCCCCATCCCTGGGACCCTGCAAAGGGGTATAAAAGTTTTATATGTTAAATACTTATATAATGAAGTAGGTAATAATTAAAACAAAAAATTTCTTTTAAAAATATTGCTTGGATGTATACAATAGTACATTTATTCCTCTTGATACAGCTTCATAAAGTTCTTTTTTAAAATGGGGCACTTGTACCCGGGGATTGTTTTTACTCAAAGAAAGATCTTCGGGCGACCCCCCACCCACACAGAAGAAGAGACCCTACCACCCGACTCCAGGGATGTGCTATAGGTGAAGAGGGGTACTAGAAACACTCCTGTGCAGGGAAACGTTGGATACAGTGTAAAAAGGGTGTTATGAAAGTAGGAAAAGGGGGTGGGGGTGGGGCGTCTGACAAACAAATTGAAGGGTCAGGGGAAGGATTTGTAGGGGAAAGAAATGACTGAGTACGGGTGTGAATGACCTGGAAGAACGGGGTGTAGAGCTTGGGTGTAAGCAAGTCACGAGGCGGGTTCGGAACCCGCAACGATTGACCACGGTTGTCCTGGTCGCGTGACCATGTCGAACCCGAACTTTGAGGAATGATATCCCATGGGGGTGGTGTTCCCTGAATCGAGTCAGGTAGGGGTAGTCCGTTCAGAGGTCAGTGGGGGTGGGGTGACCAGTTGCAAGGCATTGGGGCGTAAGGGCAATTGAGGGGTAGTGGTGGATCCCATGACGGGATGTGTGACTCCTCAAATACTAGAACACAGGGGTAGTGGTAGCACTTCAGCAAATCTTGAGCTGGGGTAGGTACCCCCTCCCATGTAAGAGCAGATTTGTTACATGCTTGCACTTCCAGGTGCGGAAAATGGTGAGGTGTTTAAAAATAGTTTTAGACTAGGGATCCTATCTTTTTGCTCGTACCAAGTGAAACCCCTACTGGTACAGTCTGCTACGAGTCAACTCCCTCACCGCTTGTACCACGATGACTGAAAATCATTTTAGGCAGCAGGATTTAAAACTTGTTCTACAGTTCGGTCGACTCTCACTTGAAGGGGGCAGGGTGACTGTGAAGGGGGCCAAAAAGGCGAGCGGGGGGACTTGAGTGTCAGACGATTTGACTGCCTGTGGGCCGGAACCCGTTAGCTAGCCGCCTAGTACCGTGTAGTACGCCGGTGGGCCAGGGTCGGGCCCCGGCGCCGGCCGCGTCACCGGGTGGCGCCAATGCCATGGCCCGGGCCATAGCATTGGCCGCCCGGGCCGCCCGGGCCGGGGACGGGCCGGGCCCGGCGGCCGCGGGGGGGGCGGATCAGCCACTGTGACACGCCCGGGCCCGGCGTTCGCAATTTGACAGGCCGCGCGTTTCACTCACTCGGACACAGGCTCGGACTCAGGACCAGGGCACAAACGTTCCCCTTCCTTCCTGACCTCACCTCACCGGTACATCGTCGCTGTCTCCTCTGTCCTTCCCTCTCTCTCCTCTCCTCCATGCCTTGCTGCCTGTCGGTCCTGTCACCTCCTTCCCTCCTGCCTCTGCTCCTCTCCTGCTCCTCGTTCTCGACCTTTCCAAATCTCCTCCTTCGACCCCCCCGATGTCTGTCGGGGCGATCATCAAGGCTTGACATGCCCCTTCCCTTTCTTATGGCTTCACAGCCCTATTATTAACCCACCACCATCAGTCTCTGATCATCACCTTTTCGCTTTGCCCCCCTCCCCTCATATTCCTGCTGACTCTCCACGTCGAAATTCCCCACAACCCGCCTCGCACCTCCTCTGCATCCTTCCACACACCCCCCCCCCCCCCCCCCCTTACTTCCTCCATTATTACACATGAAGGCACATGCACGTCCTCTGCATTCTTCCCAGCTCCCGCCCTCCTCTCCCTGCCCTCCTCCCCACACCACCACCACCACCGCTGCTGATTGCTTCTTGTTGTACCTCCCTTCGTCTATCAATCTGTCGCTGGAGCTGAACTCTTCGCGTTGACGTCATGTTGTAGAGGTAGTCTGGACGCCTCCTCGTTCAGGGACGCCGTCAACACCGGCCGATGTCGGAGGAAGCCTCACATGAGAGGGCGGTGGAGGCATCGAGGCAGTGGCTCAGAGACAAGGTCAGAGAACACTTGACGATGTTCGAAGGAGGGGCTCATCGCGTCTTCCAGGGATGGGAAGAGGATCATTATGTCATAAGTGTTTCCGAGGTGCAGTCGTGCCCCCAGGGTTTCCTCAGGTGGGCCGGAGGCTTCACTGATGCCCTTCACTGCTGATTGTTGATCAGCGTCGACGTCATCTGCATCAAGAGCGAGGACGAAGACGAGGACCGCTCGCTACTGCTGAAGAAGAGCAGAGTTTTGGTACTCCACCACCACCCGCTCCTCCCCCCTCCCCCCTCCTCTTTCCTCCTCCTCTCTCCCCTTCCCTCCTCCACCCTCCCCTCCACCTCTCACCTCCGTCGTCCCTTCAAGTTGCCCCAACCGTGATCTGTTGTTTTTTGATGGGGCATTGCAGGAGGTGGATTTGGTTCGATTCAGTGTTGAGACTGTGCTGGCGGCTCGGGACATGAACGCGCTGAAGCGAATCCTTGAGCTGGAGAGAGTCCGCGTGCGAACTGAAGTATCTGCCAACACCTCCCTCCTCCTTGTCCTTACTGCGCTCCCCCCACGCAGGAGCTGGAAGAGGGCATGCGCGCCAATGAGCTCGAAGGGACCCGGCAGGAGAAGGAGGAGCAGGAAGTAGAGATTTCGGAGACCGAAGTGAACGCCATGCTTCTCGAACAGGTTCTGATCCGGCATGGAGGGTGCTGGGGTACTCAGGTGCTTTCAACAAGGACCCCAATGTTCGCTTGAACCAGGTGGAGGAGGAGATCGAACGGGTTTGCGTCCATGTGCTGAACTCGGCTGCTGCTGGTGACAACTCGGATCAGGTGAGGAGAGTGCAAGAGGAGCTGTCAAACGCCAGCAAGCCACTGTATGCTTCCGCTGAGTATGACGAAGATGAAGGTTTGAATGTCTTGATATGAGCCAGAGCAATAAGTTTGTGATCATTGCGGCAGAAAAGAATCCGTCAGGGACGGTGTCGGGGGACAACGGAGATAATCCTCCAGAAACCGAATGATTGTGATGCTCGCAAGTTCAGCGCTACAGCTGGATACGATCCCATGCCAGGTGCCAGACCGTCCGTAGGGCGGCTCGCGGCTGGTCCGAATGCCAGAATGCTCCGTGACGGTTTCCAACTGACTGTGGCAGCCACCCGCCGCATCATTCCATTTTTAACTTAACTTTGAGTAAAGATTCCATCACATAGGTGTTTGGAACTTAGTTCCGGCCAGCCCGATTTCAATGACTCAGCTATGATTCCGAGTGACCGCGACGCCTTGGCGGCCGGGGCGGCGGCTCAGGCAGCTTGAGTCACTGGCCCTCAGGCTGGGCAGACCGGGCCGTCACAATGACCACGACCCGGCGCCGCCGGGGCCGCTCAGCGGCTGGCTAAACTTTCGGGGCCCGGCTGGCCCGGGCGGCTGGCCGGCCGGGCCGCAGCCTGCCAGTGCGACGGCGAACATGCCAATCGGACCGGGCAACACCATACCAACTTACCAGGCCTGCCTCAGTATCGTGACTTGCAAGGTACCAACAAGGTACCCGCACGTGCCATTGCCGAAATGCCGGGCGCCATGGCAGTAGCGCGTGAGAGCGACGAGCTTGCGATGATGAAGAAGTTGAAGAAGGAAGAGAAGAAGAAGATGAAGGCAGAAAAGCGAAAACGAGAGGAGGAGGAGGAGGAGGAGGAGGAGGAGGAGGAGGAGCAGGAGCAGGTAGAGGAGAGCAAGAGTAAAAGACCTCCAAGAAGTCGAAGAAGGAGGCGCGGGAGCAGGAAGCGGAGAAGGAGGATCAGAGCGACGATGAAGGCAGCAAGCAGAAGAAGAAGAAGAAGGAAAAGAAGGAAGAGAGGAAGAAGAAGAAGGGAGGAGACGCCGAAGACGATGAGCCTGCGCCCAAGGCTGACAAGTCGAGCAAGGAGCAGAAAAGCTCGAAAGCTGGAGAGGACAAGGACAAGGATCAGTCGAAGAAGAAGAGGAAGGAAGGCAAGTCCGAGAAGAGTCAGCAGGGCTCGGACGAGGAGGAGGCCTTTCGAGCAAGCCTACATATCTCCTTGAGCGGGGGCGGAGAGCATGTCGCTCCGAGTTGCGTGCGGTCACTGGACGGCTCTCCTTTCTCCAAGAGCATCGTCAAGGCCATGAAGGACGCGGGTTTCACTTCCCCCAGCCCCATCCAGTCGCAAGCCTGGCCCATCGCCTCCGCTGGCTACGACATGGTGGCGGTCGCCAAGACAGGATCAGGGAAGACTCTGGGCTTCCTCCTCCCTGCCTTCAGCTACCTCGAGAAGTTGGGAGGAGGAGGAGGAAGAGGTTGCAAGGTGCTTGTGCTCGCTCCTACTCGAGAGCTTGCGATCCAGATCGAGTCAGAGTGCAAGAAGTTCGGCAAGGAGGCGCAGGCGACGTGCTGCTGCCTGTACGGTGGGGTACCTGTGGGGCCCCAGAAGGCGGCGATGAAGCAGGACCCCAAGATAGTGATCGCGACGCCGGGGAGGCTGGTGGATTTGATGTCACAGGACAGCTGCGACATCAGCAAGTGCGGGTATGTGGTGCTGGATGAGGCAGACCGCATGCTGGACATGGGGTTCGAGCCGCAGATCAAGAAAGTGTTCGACGCTCTGCCGGCGGTAGAGGCGCGGCAGACGTTGTTCTTCACTGCGACATGGTGAGATCAGGGATGAGAAAAGGAGGATTGAAGAATGGTGGTGGTGGTGAGAGGAGGAGGAGGAGGAGGAGGAGGAGGAGGAGGAAAAACTGAGGATGATGTATCTGCATGCTGCTTGTGGTGATGATGAACGAAAGGAAGACAGGGGAAAGAGGGAGAAGAAGGAGGGAGTAGCTGGGCAGCTGGGAACGTGGATGTAATCATGTGTTTGACCCGTTCTTGTCAGGCCAAAAGCTGTGAGGAAGATGGCGGGGAAATTCCTGAAGGAAGACTTGTTTCAGGTGAGATGAATATGAACATAAATGAACCTGAGCATGAACATGAATGTAACGATGCTGATACGCCATGCAGATCTTCGTGGATGGTGGAGAGGATGCAGAATTGTCAGCAAACAAAGCGGTGAGCAGCGGCAGCAGGAGGAGGAGGCCAGCAAGGAGAGGGGGAGGGGGAGGGGGAGAAAGGAAAAGGGGGAGGGGGAGGGGAATGATGTGTGGAAGGGAAGGGAGGGAGGAACATTCTTGTATTGAATGCTGTACAGGTCAAGCAACGGTTTGTTCACGCGACTGACGATGAGAAAGATGCCAAACTTTGGAAGATTCTAGTGGTATTGATACATCTAGAGCAAGCGTTGGGGGGGATGATGATGATCACGATCATGATTATCATGATGGTGATGGTGATGGTGATGGTGGTGGTGGTGGTGGTGGTGGTGGTGGTGATGATGATGATGAACGGGCGGAGGAGGAGAAGGAGGAGGAGAAGGACGAGGACGAGGACGAGGACGAGGATGAGGATGAGGAGGAGAAGCAGGAGGCGGAGGAGGCGGAAGAGGAGAATTCTCACCTCTTCGTTCTTCTCACCTTATTCGCAGGAGTTGCCTGAAAATGCAAGGGTTGTCTGCTTTGCCAACACAAAGAGAAGAGTCGACTATCTGTCAAAGGTGCTGCTCCTGCCAATGCTGCTGCTGCCCCCTGCTCGTGCTCGTGCTCGTGCTCGTGCTCCTGCTCCTGCTCCTGCTCCTGCTCGTGCTCCTGCCAATGCTGCTGCTGCCCCTTGCTCGTGCTCGTGCTCGTGCGCGTGCGCGTGCTTCTGATTCTCGTTATTGAGGATTCTTTCAGGCCTTGTGGGATGAAGGCATCGGAACCTGTGCCATCCACGGAGACAAGCAGCAGCAGGACAGAGACAAAGCGCTAGCTCAATTTGTGAAGGGAGAAGCTCCTCTAATGGTGAGGGAAGACGTCGAAAGTTTGATGCTCCCACCTCTCCTCCCTTCCTTCTGCTCCCTTCCTCTCCCTTCCTCCTCCTCCTCCTCCTCCTCCTCTTCCTCTTCCTCCGCTTCAAGGCTGTGTTGCATCCTCGCCTCGTTCTTGCTCTTCACTTGTTCTCCTTCATCGTCTCACTTTCGCTCCAAGATCGCCACCGACGTCGCTGCTAGAGGGCTGGACATCAAGGGAGTGACCCACGTCATCAACTTCGACATGGCGCGAGATGTTGAGGTTTGCATCCTCTTCCTCTCCTCTCTTCCCTTTTCTCTTCCCCTCCCCTCCCTTCCCCTCCCCTCCCGTATTCTGCTCTGCTCTGCTCTGCTCTGCTCTGCTCTGCTCTGCTCTGCTCTGCTCTGCTCTGCTCTGCTCTGCTCTGCTCTGCTCTGCTCCCCTCCCCTCCCCTCTCACACATCTTCCTTGCTTCGAGTTGTTCCTTTCATCCTCTTCTCCTCACACAAGAATTTTCAGAGCTACGTGCACCGCATTGGCCGAACAGGAAGGGCTGGGGAGCTCGGCGAGTCCATCACGTGAGGATAAATTCCTCCTGCTCCTGCTCCTGCTCCTGCTCCTGCTCCTGCTCCTGCTCCTGCTCCTGCTCCTGCTCCTGCTCCAGCTCCTGCTCCTGCTCCAGCTCCTCCCTCGCTCCCCGCTCGTTCTCTTCCTCTTCCATCTCATGCTCCTCACTATCTCTTGCAGGTTTTGGAACCCGGACTACGACAAGGAATGCGCTCCCGCACTCATCAAGATCGCCAAAGATGCAGGGCAAGAGGTCAAGAAAAAGCTCCTCTTCCACCACCAACACCATCGCTTCCTCCTCCTCCTCCT